CTTTCGAAATACCAGCTGCATCGAATCGAACGTATGTTCATTCAGAATTCAGAATTTTTATTTTTTTCGCTATGTAACAGAAATTAAAAAGATTAATGAAAAAATTAACGAAAAAAAAAAAATAATTAAAAATGTCAACCATTTTAAATTCGACGTAATTCAATTCATTTTACGTATATTGTTAGAGTATTATTATTATTGGTTAAATATGATTTAAAGTGAAAATTAATGGTCGAATTTATTTTAGTAACAACAAACCGGGACCGATAAATAGTAGCGATGCAGGCGGCAATGGTGGTGGCGAACTTTTTGAAAAATTCCAACGTCAGAAAATGAACCGTGAATCGTCAGTAAATTCAGGCGTTATGACTGATACGTAAGTAGATGTTTATATTATATTAATAAATATCAAATAAAATAATAATATAAGATGCGCGTCTCTTTTTTTTTGTTATTTGTTTTTCTGTTTCTTTTGCGGTCACGTCACATCGTCTAAATTATAACTGCGTTTTTTTCTCTCTTCGTTATTTATAATTATTTCCAATTTTAAAAGTCTGAATGCGTATTGTATATTGACCGTTGTGAGTTATGTAATTCGGTTGCTTTATTAAATAGATCTCTCTAATTTTGTATATATAATAATATGATTGAATTTAAGTCAGTCATGTATACGTATATAAATAAAAATTGATTTGTTTTTTTTTTTGTTTCGTCTTTAGTATAGTCTCGAGCGATCTTGTTTTGAGTAATCGGTGTGTTTGCGTGTGTGTTTGCGTGTGTGTGTGTGTATGGCTCAGTACGAACCTGAATTAATTGACAAAAATCAAGCGGAGCCGGGGTACAGAGCTGCGGCAAACAATCACATGAAATATCCCAAATTGCTCGTTACAATATCGTTTCCAATTGGAATTTTTACCATATTATTTGAATGTGAAATTTTTGGCCACATTTTGCCAACAATTTATTTGACCATATGTGTGGATATTTAATTTGGATCGAATTTCATGAGCCATTGTGTCCACAATAAAATAATTTTTATTTGGATTTCTTTCTTGTTGGTTGATAAAGACGAGACGTACATATTGAATATGTGTTTATTGCTCCGTTTTCGTTAAAATTGTTTGCTTCATTTATTCGATGAATAATATTCGCTTACTTGTATATTGTATTTCATTTTTTTTCTGGAATGTCAACTATGTCTTTTCTTTCCTGGAATTAGACATGAATGTGTAGATGTGCGTTCATATGTTTACTATCATAGTCGTTGACTATATTTTTATTTGAATATCAAAAAAACAGATACTGATGCCGTTGGTTTTGTTGTTGGCATTTATTCAGCACACATTACTAATCTAAAAATTTGGTATGTGAATCATTTTTTTTACATCGACGACTTTAATTGCCTGATATATAATTCGTAAGGAATTCGCTTATAGTTCTTTTATCGTTTTAAAATTTTATTCTAATTTCCATATGTCTCCATTCATGAGTTAAATTTTATCTAAATTATGGTCATATTATTCTTATCTATTTTATGTAAAAGATCACATCGAGAGATAAAAAAACGTAACAAACAAAACAAACAGACGCAAAAACTTGTATCACAAATCCTTTTCTGTTTGTCATAGTTCTGTTCATTGATTGGATAAAACAGCATGAACGACAGAGAAAAATTGACGATCCGCTAAAATAACACTTCTACCGCAGCATAATATCAATTTGTTAAAAGCGTTTTATTGATATTTTGACTTGCTCGTCATCGATGCTCAATATTGATTTCTAAATTTGAATACATTTTCGTGCACTTATTCTCTCAACAATCAATATAAGATAAGCAATGTAATATGCCAAACTATTTATGATAATCCTCTGTCTCGTATCAGTATTCAATTGTTTACTGGGCTCTGATAATAATACTGAAATATCAACCGCAATCAAAATTTATAATCGAATTGTATAGTTCGGATTTGTTCTAAGAGTGTATGCACTTCTTTTTCTGGTATTTCTTTCTATCGCCCTATTATTGTTATGCCAATGTCATGTATCGGCAGTGAATAGCTTATTGCTGTTGCACAGAGAATTATACTCAGACGATAGAAAAAAAATGTTCATATATTAAGGACACCAACCAGATACAATTTGTTTTCAAATCCGATATGATGCAAATGAAACAAAAAAAAATATATAGAGCTCGTGCTTAGATTCGATTCATGTAGGAAACAAAGGTGCAAGCGTATGACTTGAAGCAATCCGGAATCGATCGATCTTAATTCACTTCCTGTACTTCAAATTGAATTTCAATCTGTGAATGTAATCACCGCGCACGCGCCCGCGTTTGTGTGTGTGTGTGCATGTGGTATGTATGTTTCTTGGGGTGTTTTTTTTTTAAGATCAGTCGAACGAACGCATGCGTCTACACGTTTCAGATATAACATAAGATCAGTGCAATGACTGTAAGGAAATATTAATTTGTTTTTGTTTCATACATTTCGTACAAATATAATTCAGTACAATGGTAAATACAGAAATTCGAAGGACACATTGGTACAAATTTTATTATTATTGATGCCTGTTTGCGATGACAATGCAAAATTCATTTGGAAGTTTCAGTATGTTCCCCACCTACAAACTTTACTGCTTCAGCAATAATGTGAGGCAAATAAAATATGATTGTATACAAATCGTTAATCGTTAATCGTTTGTAGCACTTAAACAAAAGAACTTAAGAATTGACCAATAAAACCGTAAAACAATTTTCGCTCATTTTAATTTGTATATTAAGTACGTAGTACACCCAAGTAATAATAGCTCGAAAATGTTAAACATGCAAAATGAACACATTAAAACGAGCACATAAAGTGCGAATGTGCTAAATGATAGAGAGTAAGACGTAACAAAATGGAGACATACAGAGAGGGAGAGGGAGAGGGAGAGGGAGAGAGAGAAAAGTAATAAGTCGAGGAAGATATAGAAAAAGAAGCACAAGATACACATCAAATGAAGCAAAGTAACTTACAAATTTAAATACATCAAAGAGAGCGAGAGAGAGTGAGTGAGAGAGAGAGATCGTATAAAATTTGTTTGTGCAAATTCTTTTCGTCACTGAATTCAATTTGAATCGATGCGCGATTGTAGCGAACCGTAATAAATACAACTTATTCCATTCTAAATGTAGAAAATTTTCAGTGCGTAAACCATTTTATTGGTATGCTTTTGACCGTGTACGCCTCAAGAAAGCAACACTATCAATTGACATCATTAACTTTGATTTCGTTCAATGATCAATTATTATCATCATTTGTTTGTTGACCGCTTTGATTTGTTTCTATTTAAAGTTCAAAATTTTCTTTTCATTACGATGGTCGTTTGCCTATTTTCACAGTATTTTGCTGTAAAATGTAAATGGATGTGATCGGTGAAAAAAAATTGTTTTATTCATATTCTGAAAGCGACAACGATCGCAATTTGTATCGATATAAAATGCGATCAAATGGATCCCTTTGTGTTGTTATCGATGTTATATTCGAATTTGATGTGAAATCGAAGAAAATAGACGCTAGAGGGGAGAGGAAATGATCGATTGAGAAAAGAAAAGAGAGATAGAGAGAGAGAGAGAGAGAGAGAGAGAGAAAAACACGAGCAAACAACCAAATAGCAATGGCAATTCCTAAAGAAATAGTTAATCAAATGAGCAATAAGACAGGTTTCGTATATGCCACATAACAACACATATCGGGCCGTTGCATAATTCATTTGTATGTGTGCTCGAACTTGTCTGAATATTAGTTGTCATTTTAAGCAATTCGATATATATATGAAACGGTCGACACATGGAATGTTTTCGCTTGGTCTATTCAAGCACTTTATACGCTTATTTATCACTGTTATATTGTTGCTTATTAGTACATGATCAATTGCAACTTTTTAATGGCTATTCAATTACTTGTCGCCTTATGACTTTTAAATATGAATACATTTGAGCCCTCGGTGTGTATGTTTTGTTTTTCTATTTCGTTCGTTGTCACTTGGAATGAAACGGTTTTTTATTTATTTACCTCTAGTCGTTACTGCGTTGTATTTATACAGTGTACACATGTTGTGAATTTATTGTCCATAGCAACTAGTTGGCTCATACCGGAATCAAACACACGCACACACACACATGCGCGCGCCAGGAGAGACAGAGAGACAAAGATTGAATTTGTCTCCATGTGCATTCATACAAACCATATCTTTTTTTAGCAATTGTAAATCTGGTCGCATTCTTCTCTTCTATAATATGCGCCACAGGCAAGACCTAAAGACAACTACAATTGAAAAGAATGCATCAATATCAATGACAGCAACAACAACTATAAGAAATATTTAAAAAATGATAAAAATGCGACAAATGATTACGGCTTAAACGTTTACCTTCGTTTGGCTTACCGCAACACACTCGTGTTGTCATTATATATTTTGTAGCTATATTTTATTGGGATATTCATATCAAAATCATATTCAAAATCATTTGAGAAAAAGATGCGAATTTAAAATAATTCCAACAAATTGCTCAACTTTATTTAATTTATCGAAGCACAAATTCATTTAGGTTTTACAATTTGACATACATTGAATATAGTTAATTTAGAGTTTCATATCTCTTTCATACTTCTTTCATTTATATATTTATATATAAAAAGAAAAAGATTGTAATAATATAGTAAAATATGTCTAAATTCATTTTTATCTTTGTTTATTTTGAAAATGTGTTCTTCGATTTGCAGAATTCTGTGTTTCATGCGTCTCTATTATTCTCATATAGCTTCAAGTCTGCGACCTAAATATATGCGTGTATATAGATATTTATTCTTAGCTTGCACATGATCATGAAGATCATTTCACTTGAGTTTCGTTTATATGCTTGTATTTTGCTTTGTGTTTTTTTGTTGTTGTTGTTTGTGTATACTAATAGGTTTTTTTGAGTGAGGTGTTTGCCATTTAATTTCAAAATTGATTGATTTTTTTTTTTTTGTTATTGTTTGTGTTTATCCTCATTTGATTTCTCTATACCTTATTGAATTTTGTTCACAAATTTCATCATTCATGTCTCGCTCAGATTTAACTGATTCCTTTTCATTCATGTTTTTTTTTGTTACTTTTACTTTAATATATATCTCTCTCCATAAATCAATAATTAATTTTCTAGAATAGATTTTCTTTATTTATTTATTTATTTATTTAAACAATAGTAATTATTCATTATAATGTATAGTATGCATATAAATTTTATTACTTTCGGCCTTCTTCTCTACACGCAACGGCTGCTACCAGCGCAGCACCACGTCCCGAACCATCTTCTGATAGCATAAGTTCAAATTTGATATCTGGTTTAATAAGTTGGCGAATTTTAGCTGTCATTAAATCATGGAATTTTGGATGGAAACGATACACTGAACCATCGATGCCAACCACTAAACTCTTTTCATCCATTCGATTAATTAATGCAGCAATACCGGCTGATACTAAATGTGCAGCACGGGTTGATACACATTGGCAGATATAGCGAACATTTTCACAATCCTCGTCGGTTGCACTATCAATTCCCAATTCTTCCAACACTTGGCGACAATACATGTAGCTGCCGGGTTTGTCACTTTCAATTTCTGACACAAATTTTGTGAAAAATCGTCCGCGGGTATTTAACATGTCTGTACTTTGGCCATCAAATAATAGACCCTCTTTGGTAAAACGAACTAATGCTAATCGCACCAATTCACCCATATACATGCCGGATATCATTTTCTCTTGAATTTGTCGGCCACGATTTATGCTGTGCTCGTCAATTTCTCTATCGTATTGTGTTCGCACAAAATCAAGGGCACCATTATCGCCAAATGCTCCCCATTCTGTGTTAACGATAACATGCGATTTTTTGGAATTACCGTCGAATAGGCCACAATTTTCGACCTTTTCCACATAACATGCATTGCTACCAGTTCCAACAATCAATCCAATTCGGCAGTTATGATTTTTCCATGCACATGACATTAGGGTACCGGTTGTATCATTGAGAATGGCACACACATCAATTTGCACGTCTCCACGGCGTGCGATGGCATCTTTCAATAATTGTACAACATCTTCACTAACAACGCCCGAACATGCAAAACCTTTTGTCCATTGGGCGAGAAGGCCACGGGTCAGACCGAGCTGCTTCAATGGAAATGAGAATGTGAATCCTAATGGCAAACGTTCTGCGTACACATTATTCTCTTTCATGAAATTCGCCAAACATTCGGCAATGTGATCGAATAGCTCTTCGCCTTTGCCCAACATTATGCTTTGTGGTACTGCATAGATTTTTGATTGCATTTTGAACTCATTTTCACCATTCAAATGAATAATGAGCACACGGAAATTTGTGCCGCCCAAATCTAAGGCCAAAAATTTGCCGCGTTCATTGCCATTTGGCAAATCTTGAACATATGTGATAAAACATTTGACATCGGCTTCATCATGTGTTTTTGCACTTAAACCGCGTTCAATTTCGTGGATAATTCGTTTCATTAACTCTTGCATGTGTTCATCGGTCAATATTAATTCTTCACATTCATCGCGGATTCGCTGCGAATTTGCATCAGCCTTTTTTGTACCCATTTTGCTGTAGTCTGACTGTGTGATTTATTTTTAATTTGAATCTTCTAGTGTTCGTTTCTTTGCTTGTATTCGCTTTTACTTTGTATACGTTTCAATTTGTTCTGTTGAACTGCTTTCGTCAATCGCTCTTACGTTTCGTGTATTTTCCCTTTTCGTTTTTTTTTTTTTATTTCGTTTGACTTCTTTTCAATGAACTTTCAATTAATATTATTATTGTTATTATTATTTGTATTTTTTTTTTTCTATCTCTATTCTGTTTAAAACACCACACTAAATAAATAATAACTTAATATTGGTTGTTTGGTTGGTTTAGTTGTTGTTCTCGTAGCCGTGAATGAATTTATTAAAACGTTTTTTTTGCGTCTTTTAAAAATCGTTCAGTCATTGACTTTCAATTTCGAATAAATCGGTGACTTATTTATTGTTTGTGCTGTGCTCTCGCTAGTTTCAATAGTCAAACGCAATTTGAAGATTGGTAAATTTTCCGCACTTTTTCAATTTATATATGTGCAATGTCCTTCACAAACAACCCGTAACGGTTTAACGTATACCACACATACGAAGAAAAAAAAATTTGGTTATGTAATGACCTTTCTTAAAGGTGACTGCTCGTCGAACACAAAATGTTGCTATATACTGTGTGTGGTGCGCTTTCCTTTTCGCCTCTTTTGCTCTCAATTTTTCTCTCAAACATGCGACTTCACTTTGCGAATTTTTCAGACGAAATCATCCACAATGCTTTCTCTGTTCGCTATTTGTATGGCTGTCTGTATGTGCTGAATTTCGTTGAATCGACCAAGCAGCCACTATTTAACACGATTGTAAACTTGAGCGTTCTAAATCAATTTCGATTTGAAAGAAATTATGTGATATTTCGTATCGTATTTGTCTTTACTTCTTTCCTTCCCGTTTCGACTGTTTCACGTTGTTTGAGTGATTGTTTTACGTTCTTTTTATCGCTTCGAAAAATGTATTGTGAATGTCAAAAACCAACTTCATGTGCACTTTGATTATATATACTCACAATATGAAAAAGAAAGAAAAAAAAAACTGAGTCGTAATCGTCGGTGGGCAGTGCTTCTCAACCGTCAGTTGTTGGCACGAATTTATATATTTCGTTTGATTTAGTAAAAATTCTCGTGCTGCTTATCAGCGCACAGACGTTTTTTCGTTGTTTTGCGCAGTCCACAATTTGACAATCAACTATACACTAGAAAACGCTACGCGCGAGAACAGGCAAACACTAATTTTTTTTTATACGTCGTCGACGACAACGATGACAATATTCACAGTGAGACACAAAATACAATTGTCGCTGTTGCGCGAAACAGACGAAATATCGGGCGCTAAAAAAAAACAACACACTCGTGAATACGGAATACGTTCTCTCCTTAATTTTCAATGGTATGCGTTTTATGTTAATGTATTGGTATCTCTCACTCTCTTTAGACTGTCTATCGGATTTTTCGTGTTGTGCGAATCAATCGGTTGTATGTGCTGCGTGTGCAGTTGTATATTTCACAATGATGATTGTGAATTGCAGTTCTTTGAATTAAAGCAGCCGAAGCTCAGACGGCCTAACATCACTTCATTCCAAACATATATTTCGTTGAGAGAAGTAGAAAAAAAAAACTCTCATACACACACAAAAAGACATACACACACGCGCGCGCGTCGGCCGCAGCACATTGAATCATTGTATTAATGGATATACGGCTGTTGCATTTGTATGTAGCAATCTTACTATGAAATTGAGTAATTCTATTGAACCAAAATATTGAGCATTTTTGTGTACACATTTTCTGATCGTCAACATTTCGAAAATAGAAATGAATGTGTTCACAAAACGATGAAATATTTTTCATCATTTCATTGCTTGTTTTTGTTTAATTCGCAATCTTTAGATTTTTTGGCTCATTTTCGTAGGCACAATCATTTCATACGATTTGAGAAAAGAAGAGAAAGAAAATCGAAATAAATAAAATCGTTAACGCTTAATATGTGTATCAATTGTATGAAGAAGAAGGCGCGTTCGCTACAAGGTGAATGGGACAAAGACAAGCATAGGAAAGAGGCGAAAAGAAGAGACGAAGAGAATGAGAGAAGAGATAAAAAAAACACACTGAATCCAAATGTGATATACAATAAACGGAATACGCTTGTGCGACATAATCTCGCGTGACACACCATGTGAATGTGATTGTGTGTTAGATCATTCATATATTTCCTTATATCTATAGAGTGTACGCACATCATAACACGTATCACAATCCGAGACTCTGGAGTTGTATGCACACAACGACACGTAGAGCGTTTTTCATGGTTAAAATAGCGTGGAAAACATATGCACAAACGGGGCTGTAGATAATTAACATATATGTAGTGTAAGCGAGATAGAAAGTGAGCGCTTACCACCAACACAAAGACGCAAGCCGTTTTCTGATTGGCTGCATATTGAGTGTGTTCTCTGTTCGACACAATCGAGACCCAAGTACGGCAGGTTAATATTTGGTTGTGTGAGTGAATCGTTTTTGTCGAGCGTCTGATACCGAATTGACGTCACAATCTCTCGGCGATTGTATGTTGTGTGTTATTATTTTTTTTTTTTTGGATTGACCGTTTGGCATTTTTGTAGGTACTGGCACATTGCTTTGCATGTTTGTGTGCCAGTGGTACGATTATAACGCTTAATCAATCGACACTATATGCATACAGTCAACATTGCTTTGATAGCATATTTGTATACGCAATAAGTTGACCATTTACGAAAACACTCATACATTTCGTTGTTAATAAATAAAGTGAATGACCATTTGTCATATTTACCACGAAGAAAATGGGAATTATTCACAGCTTCTAGAATACAAGTCAAATTGATATAAAGATTTTCGAGGAATTGAAATAGATTCGAAGAACTTCGGATCTGACAGGCTTGAATCTTGGCATATTATAGTTTCTGCCAAATTCTTTCAACTTGGAATGCATACGAATTGTACTATTTTTGATGTTATAGTCGCGTACATGTGTCTGTCTAATTTTTCGTATATCGCATTGTACTAATAAAATATTCTCTAATTTTATAGCGATACTAAAGAACCATTCGAATTAATCGCTATGTTTTCGCTATTTCTTTTCTATCTCCATCTTTATCTACCGCATTTATACAACCGATAATAGTTCAGTTTTCTTTTTATTTTCGACAAAACGTGCACCAATATTTATACTTGATAGGCAAATAACAAGTTTTAAATCATAACAAAGCAAACACAATGTCAACACAACACATATCATGTACACGATCGAATGTGGATAGAGGCGCGCAATAATTATTTCACAACAAAAAAAAATATATATATAATCGCTTCCTAGCGAACGTCGACACGATGACAAACCACCGATAAACAAACACTAGGAGATTTTGCCTCTGATTTCTCGGATCATGCCCCCTTTTTTTGTGAGTACATGTTCTTCCCCCGATTTGCGATAACACGAAATATCATCATTATTATTTATGCATATTTTTTTTAAGTTTTCTCTTCTAATTTTCTCACAATCAATCGGCTTTTGCCGAAGGTATTTCTTTATGAATGTGCAATATGTTTGTTTTGCTGCTTGTTTGTCATGTATAATGTCTCACTAGTTGAACTGAATAGTGAATATGCATTAGCTGAGTGCATACAGTCCCAAATATTTCTGAAAATAGTTGAGAAGCTAAGAAAACACATTTTACTTATGTAAATTGTTATGTGCCTTAATATCAGCAACCACATCAAAAGAATGAACGCAATTCGTTGCCTCTTTAAATTGAAACAATTAATAAAATGTGAATAATATCCAATTAAAATTGGAGCAAAGAAGACAGTTTTACAAAAGAAAAAAAGCGAAAGAAGGGGAAAGAGAGACGTTTTAATGTTGAATGCAAAATCTATATGAATTCGAGAGAGCGAGAGAGCGAGAGAGCGAGAGAGAGAGAGCGAGAGAGCGAGAGAGAGAGAGCGAGAGAGAGTGGAGTGTGCGACAATGCATATGTGGCCCTGTGATCGATTTGTCTTATTTTGCGTGTAAAACATTTGTGCATTCACACAGCAGCCATGAATAAAATGCCTTTAAATTAATGAACAGTCAATACAATTGCAAGTTTCTTATAAGTTCAAATGTTTGTTGTCCGTTTCAGCTGAACAAAGCAATTTTTTTGCGCTTACTATTTGCTTGTTATATTTTTTCTCTCGCCATTTTACACTGTATTAGATTAATTTTTTTTTTTCATTTCGATCATTTGATCTGTTTACCAGTTACAAATACATATTGTTTGATTTTGATGCAAAGCAAATGAGTAAATAGGATTGACGTATGTATGGTGATCAGCGGGAAATAGAGCAACGAGAACAAGACACACACAAAGAGAGACAGACAGAGAAAGAAGTTAGTTTTTTGCCTCTTTTGATGTGTTTATTAATTTGTGTTGTTTTCCGACAAACAACACAACAGATAATGACGACAATTATTTCTCAGCTACTTCCCCGCTTCTGTCTGTCCGAACAGACTCTGTCGTATAGATCAGAATACATCATATTCGATACAAATTATTGCGTTTTCTATATGATGTGCCCACCACATTGGATTGGCCCATGATTTTTGTCAACAACCCAACAACAATAACGAAATATGAATATATAAACAACGAAAGCGCAATGTCCGATTTCTATCTATCGCTACATATGAGGTTCCGTTGAATGGCCACCTTTTTAAAATAACACGAAAAATACTCAATGAAATTGAAAGAAAAAAAAAAACGATAAAAATCAAAATAGTCTCGGTAAATACTGCGCATTTTTGAAATTTACAATGCGATGGTTCACATTTTAAATTCCCAAGTAAGAAAAAACTACAGCAACAACAAAATGACGTACCAAAAGTGCAGTTCTGACCCTATCAATATACTCATCACCGCAGACAATACATACCAAATTCACAGGCATTCTATTTTTCATCGAATCTTACACGTATTTCATTTATATCAATTAGACTTTAAAAAAAACTACAATATCAAATCACATCCGATTATATCTCAGCTGTTGCTTGTACTTCCTTTTTGTGTTCGTTTTTGTATTAGAAACAAAAAAACTGAAATGATTGTATATGAAGTGTATGTTTGTTGTTCTCACACGCTGACAGTGCGATGTTTGGTCTCCGAAATGGAGTGCTACCATTTATTTTGTTTTTATTTATTACCTGTGTTTTTATCTCAATGCGACAACCAAGGTGTTGAATAGTCATTTTCTATCGCAGAATTTGTTATATCATTCATATATGCTAAACTCTGATGTTGCATATACATTTTATCTTGTTTTTGCTATTTTTTTCAAATTTCTCTTTTCTTTTCGGTGTTACACACATCGATTAGTAAAAAATTATATATCAAAAATGAATATTTTACACGGGCATTAGAAACAAAACACATTCCAACGTGATACTGCATTTTGTGACCGTTGCGAAAAAAAAAACTGCCAAGAAATCGAGAGGAGAATGAAGAGCGCATCACGTACACATTTCAAATCAAGCCAAATTATAAATAAACAAAACGTTTTGTTTCGTTGATGACGTGCTTGCGCTTTTTTTCTTCTTCTTTATATTTTCTTTGCACATGTGACTCTGACTCTACGACTCATTGTGTATTTCATTGAGAAAAATGAAACACAGCTAATAGCAACAATAAATAAAACGAACGAAGAATCATAGTGAATATAAAACGTAAGCAAGGCACAGAAGAAGAAGAAGAGAAAACTTTAGCCACAGCTATGAACGAAGTGGCAAAGTACGGTTACGAATGCGAATACAAATTGTGCACGGGTAATGGCACGGATGATGTCACAATGTATCCCTTTCATGAAATCAAATATCCAAACTATTCAAATTGGATGTGATTCTTCCTCGAAAGACTGAAATATTCAAGCGGAAGACAACCGTAGTCAGATCGGGTGTTTTCATTCTCATTAAGACATAATTTATAAGTATTGATGCATATGGCACGTGCAATATTATTATTTAACCGATGGCAGTGACAGTGATTGTGAACAAATCGATCAAAATGTGTTCAATATGAACTTTGTTTTAGAACCAACAACAACAACATAAAATAAAATCGATTTATTACATTTTGCCTAGTCATTTAGTTCCTGAATTGATCATCAATACAAATTGATATCGATCGTTCATACCTTCTGATAGGAAACATTCCAATTGTTTCTATTCCGATACAAAAACCCATTAATAAAATGTCAAAAATAAAACTGAAACAACCGTTCAAGTGGCTCCCATATCGAATTCTGTTGAACTGTTCCTCTTTTTTTATTGACGCCAACTTTGAGTTTGACCATTCGGATTGTATATTACTCATTTAGTTTGTCTTCATTATCATTAATTGTGTGTCGATTATTTCAGTTAAATGGTACAAATGTCATGTGTAGCTTTACAATGCCATACAGCGTACGCGCACGCAACGATGCCAAA